TGTCATGTGTGGATGTAAGAAAAATACACGGTTCATTATATATATATATATTTCCCACATCACTGTGTGGGGTTCCTGTTTTTCGCTTGGATCCCGCCGCTCCTCTTCCGGTTCCCGCCGCCGCTCCCGCCTCAACTTCTCACCATCAAGAGCCGCTCCTCTTCCGGTTCCCGCTCCCGCCGCTCCCGCCGCTCCCGCCGCTCCCTCCTCACAAATCACACCTCACTCATCACAGCTCCACTTCTCATCACAACTCATCACCGCTCCACTTCTCATCACAACTCATCACGGCTCCACTTCTCACACCTCACTTATCACATCACAGCGCCGCTGGGCCAGCTCCTCACACCTCACTTATCACATCTCCCATCTCGTTGCCTTTCGTGTGGCAGGCGCAGTACACAGAGCCCCCTGGTCGAGCTGCGGCGCGCGTGGGCGCCGGCCGCAGCTGCCTCCCGTGTGGCAGGCGCAGTACAGTACACAGGTCCTGGTCGAGCTGCGGTGCGCGTGGGCGCCGCTGGGCCGCGGCTGCCTCTCATGTGGCAGGCGCAGTACACAGAGCCTCCTGGTGGAGCTGCGGCGCGCGTGGGCGCCGCTGGACCACGGCTGCCTTTTGTGTGGCAGGCTTCATCACAGCTCCACTTCTCACACCTCACTTATTAATCACATCACAACGCATCACAGCTCCACTTCGCACACCTCACTTATCACATCTCCCATCTCGCTGCCTTTCGTGTGGCAGGCGCAGTACACAGGGCCTCCTGGTCGAGCTGCGGCGCGCGTGGGCGCCGCTGGGCCGCGGCTGCCTTTCGTGTGGCAGGCGCAGTACACAGAGCCTCCTGGTCGAGCTGCGGCGCGCGTGGGCGCCGCTGGGCCGCGGCTGCCTTTCGTGTGGCAGGCGCAGTACTGCAGAGCCTCCTGGTCGAGCTGCGGCGCGCGTGGGCGCAGCTCCACTTCTCATCACAACTCATCACAGCTCCACTTCTCACACCTCACTTATCACATCACAACTCATCACAGCTCCAGTTCTTTCACCTCACTTCTCACACACTAACTCATCACAGCTCCACTTCTCACACCTCACTTATCACATCACATCTCACACCTCACTTATCACAACTCATCACAGCTCCACTTCTCACACCTCGCTTCTCACACACTCACTCATCACAGCTCCACTTCTCACACCTCACTTCTCACAGCTCACTTATCACATCACAAACCATCACAGCTCCACTTCTCACACCATCTTTCACACACCCTCTTTGACACACCATCTTTTACACACCATCTTTCACATACACAACTTTGTCACCCACCATCTTTGACACACCATCTTTCACACCATCTTTGACACACCATCTTTCACACCACTTTGTCACACACAATCTTTCACACACAACTTTGTCACACACAATCTTTCACACACCATCTTTCACACACAGCTTTGTCACACACCATCTTTCGCACACCATGTTTCACACACATCATCTTTCACACGCAACTTTGTCACACACCATCTTTCCTCCACCTCCTCCTTTGTCTTTCCTTCCTTCCCCGTCCCCGCTACAACATTTCTGGCTCATTATTGGAAGAAGTTGACTTGTGGGGTTATCCGGTTTATTTATTTATTTTTCGTGCATTCGTGCATGTCAGATTTCTCCACCTCCCTGTCCCCCAGTCCGGCAGGATCCTAGGTTCCCTGCGCCAAGGTGTCAGCAGCCACGATCACTCCGTCCTTGTACTTCATACCCACCACTGTGGCACCAGTCACAATGGGCTGCAGCCTGGGGGGTCAAGTCATTGCGGTACGGACTCAGATGGATTGTCAGTGGCCATGCCATGCATCCTGATGAGATGATGGTTAAGCCATCAATCAAACAACGGTCAGCCTAATTTTGTAAGTATTGAGTATTATTGAGTTAGACCCACAAACATAATCTTCAAACATATCTACAACGGTTCATCCACTACTTTGTGTTCTATGTGAACCTCAACCGTCCCTAGAAGAGTCTCAGAAGTTATCTGATCAATCTCAAATCAGATTTAGGGCTGTCCAATCATTCATTTTGGGTTCGGGCTTGGTTGGCGATAACAAACACTTCGTTTGGTATGTATATAGCATGACATGTATACATATGTATAGTATAAACTGTATACATAAGATATATATAACATGGTGTGTATATTATATGTAAAATATATATATATATCATGTTCTATATAGATATCTATTATATATATATATTATGTATATAAGTTGTTTATAAATATAAATATATATATATATATCATATATATATATATACATCATTTATATATATATAAATATATATCATAATACATATATATATATCATATTATATATATATCATATTATATATATCATAATATACATATATATATATATCATATTATATATATATATCTGCAAAATTTACTTTAAATTCAAAACGGTTTCCTCGTCTTAAATTTACTTTTCCCCTCTGATTAAATCTTCAGTCCTCGCCTCGTTACATTCAAAACGGATTTCAGCCCTCGTCCCATTTCTTTCTCGACCGCAAGCCATTCGAACTAGTCCTCTGCCTCCTTTTGGGTTGAACTTTTTTGAATTATCTTTGCCGTCGTTGCAGCAACGCTCTGGGCTCCAGAGGCTTGGGGATGCTGAAAAAACTTTTCAGGGCCTAAAAAGTTTTTTCCTGTTTCCGAGATGCCTCTTTTGCAAGGGTCTCGATTCCCCCCAAATTCGACCCCAGAGAAGAGAAGCTGCAGCAGCAGCACCAAGATACCCCGCTACACCTCAAGCTTTAGCAATTTTAGAATCTAGTCGCGCTACCTGGGAAAGGTGAATAAGAACTATTGACCAAAATTTCAGGGTTCCCTAGGGTTCTTATTTCAATTAGCTGGTAATTAGACAGAGTTGAATCCAGCAATCCAGCCCCTGAGGTTCTTAATGCAGTGGGTTCTTAAACAGTGGTTTCACTGTAGAACAAATACGGAAGTCCTGGAACAACCGGGCATGCCACCACAGGGCACTGACTGAAATTACGATTAAAAAAAATGCGGGCTCCAGAAAGTTTTTTTTTTCACGGGGTCTGAATGCACCCTTAATTTTCTGTTTTTTCACTCTGATGGGAACAAAAAACTTTCTGGAGCCCGAAAGGTTTTTTTTCACTCGTTGCACATGCTGTGAAAGCAATTTCTGCCCACCTCGTTTTCTGAATTTAATTAATTCACCTCGCTTAAATTGCAAAGATTCACCTCGTACCTCGTCAGCCCTCGCTCTAAATTATGCAGATATATATATCATATTATATATATATCATATTATATATATATCATATTATATATATATATATCATTTATATATATATCATACTTTATGTGTGTATATGTATATATAACTTATGTGTATATATCAGGCGGAATCACAGGCAGTTGCGGAGTTTCATACAAACTATGCAAACCCAAACCTGCAGAAGACTGGGTCAAAGGTTCTAGGGTAATAGCCCCGTTCAAAAAATGTTAAGTCCCCGTACAAGTAGTTATTTTTTAGCTTAAAAAACTTTGATGTTTATTCATTTGGTGATATCATCATAGTTGGATGTTTGGTACACGTTCATTCCTGAACTCGACATCCACGTAAAAATGGCTACATCATGTTCCCATTAAAGCATCTAAACATCCCATGTTTGACTATGACTCATACCCATGTTTGCCCTCCAGCAAATTAACATCGGTATATATGGACAATGAGCCATTTGAATCCATTTGACAATACATTTATATGGAGGTTTCCTAAAATAGGCCACAGCTCATCTATTTTTAGATCATTTTTCATTATATACACCATCCAACTATTGGTGTGGTGTTATTTTAGGAAACCGCCATATTTCAAATCTCTATAGGCATCTATAGGCATATGTGGAATTATGTGGAATCGTGGGCAATGAATTGCTTTAAACAGTTGGTTTCTAGGACACCAAGGTTGCTGTCTTTGGAGGCTAGAAATCCAAGGAACGTATGCTGCTGGGCATCAGTGGAGTACTGCCCAGGCGCCATGTCCCTGCGAAGCTCTGGGGGGCCTGAGGGGTAGGGCAGAAAAGATTGCATATTTTTTGTCCGCCATTTCACTTCTTAAAAAAACGAGAACATTGGAACCCATAATAAAGTGCGGTAAGAAAAACAACGGCCGATTTTCGGCTCCGGAACATAGGTCATTGCTGAATTTCATTATGCTGATTTCATTATGATGATGATGATGATGAAGGGGAGCAGGAGGTTATGAGACCCAACACGCGGAGTCGGTCATTAGACGCATCAGGGAGCTGCATGGATGATCTGCAAGCTGGATCGACTAGTTAAAGGGGAGTTCAGGAGAATACCAGAAATTGTTGGGCCTGTGACCGCAAAAACATCGGTTTTCACAAAAACATCGGTTTTCACATTTGTGTTTCCATACAAATATAGCAGAAATATGCGGAGAGTCTCCATGGCTGCCCACCTGTTTTTTGGCAGGATGTATCACGAAACGGTCTCTGAGCAGTAAAATGGCAAGCACAAAATGGGTATCACACCTGCCGTGTGGTGAAAGTACCAAACTTTCTCAGTTGGATTCCAGTGTTTGAGTTTTCTTGATGCTTCATGGTTTCTTTGTTGCGATCAAACATCTTGAACGTCTTGTAGGGTTTGCATTGCAAAAGTTTCTGCCAGTGGCTGCTATGAACCAACTATACTTTCTCTGTATAGATACGCACGGTCTCTGTATGTTTCTGATGGTCATCCTGCGGACATACGGCTCATGTATGGCAAATTGAAAATATTGGTAAATAGCACATTGCGCTGAAAAACTAAGACTAAATCATCTAAATCCGATAAATGTGATATGCATGACTTAAACTCGAGTCAGCAAAAGTTGACCTCACAGTCAAGTGATGGTTGTGGGGGAATGATTCAGTGTAAAATAGTGCAAACAAAAACGCAATTTCACATCTCTTCACTATTCACGTCCTCTTTCCTCGCCATCGTTTCATCATCACGCCCAATACGCAGGTAGCCTTTGGCTAATCGGAGCATTGGTCTCTCAGCATGTCGCCTGTACCTGAAAACAGCCAGGACCCTGATCAAAAAACAACGTGCAGAGAGTATATCCGCTAGAGTTGGTTTATCAGTAGGTTGAATGTCTGTCAAATAGTAAATATATGTTTGTGTGTGTATATATATACACCCTCTGGTAAACTAACACAGCTATGGAAAATAGGTGATTTATAGTTGGTTTTCCTATACAACATTGCGTTTTTTTCCATAACTATGTTAGTTTACGAGAGGGTATATATCGTAATAAGCACATAAATTATATATCTCTACATATATATATGTATATATATATATATATCATTGTCGGAGCAAATGGGTCACATACCGCAATCGCAAATAAACCCAAGGGTTCGGGAACCCTTTAGAAACCTGTCACCCAGAAGTACTGGTCATCGTCACTATGTTGCCGTCGCAATGCTCCTGCAAAATGGATGATTGAAGGATAAAACTGGTTATTCAATGGGGATGTCCGATTCATGGATGCCCCAATATATCGGGCAATCGAACAAAATCCCCGAACTCATCATCAACCAATAGGGTTTGTTGAGCGCTGCCCATTTATTCAGTATCCCTATAGTGGGTTAGTTCCTAATCCCAAATAAATTTACCACTCAATAAACCAATTATTCACCAGACCATAGAACAATCTGATAAATATTATCATAAATTTACCAATTACAAATTATTCAATAATCCCAAATAGATATGTATATATATATATATGTATGCATTACAATACATAGTAAGTAGGTAGATAGATCGATAGATAGATAGAAAGAAAAAACACAAAAAAGAAAGATAGATAGCTAGCTAGCTAGATAGATAGATAGATATATATATATAAAAATATCAAGTTTAAATTTCTCTGCGACCAAAACCCTGGGCACCGCAATTCACGGAGCAAGTCCAAATCGAATCAGCCATGAAGCAGCTGAATCGTTGCTATATTGAGATTTTGATATATTTTCCGCCTGGGGGACAGCCCTTAACTTCAATTTGTCGAAAGGTTTTGTAAAAAGGATGAGCCCAAGTCAACGAATTTTAAGAATACGACCTAATTATATATATATATATACGTATATATAATAAGCCTCCCCAACTCCACATCAGAACTCGTTTTAACATGTACTGAGTGTAAGGGCTCAAGTAGCGTCTTTGGCTACTGATGCGCGGTGACACCTGCAGCTTCTGGAGGAATGTCCCTGATTATTTCACGGTTGATGAAGACCATCATGTCGTAGGCATGCTCGTGCGGCCGGGGCCTTCTTGCTATAGACATGCTTGTGGACCTTGGCAAAAGCCAACTTCTATCCCATATCCTGAAGAACTGCTGGGTTCAAGCCATTTGCAATGTGCTTTACAGACAAAGAGTTTGAGTCTGTAAGGCGTCAAAGAAAACATTGCAGGTCAAAACGAAGCATTATCAAATAGACAGCCAATAGCACAAAAACTAGCGCAGCCAGCGGCGTATGTCCACCAGTTTTCCCTCTTATCAGCCATTATAAATGCACCTTTCATACCTTTTCCACATGTTCTGACTGAAAACTGAAAGTCAAAGGGATGCCCAAAAATCCAAACCCCTACTATTTCCAATGTTGGTAAACTTGTCTTTTAGGGACCCCGTTGACCAAGTTGGCACCTTCTTCCATCTTTGCCAGTCTGATGCCACATGCATTTTCTTGCCCCACTGGGCGCTTCCGCTTGATTCATAGCAGAATCTTGCTTTGGCATAACAATTGAGTGCCCGCTCCTCGGTTCTTGGCGGTGATATGGCCACCCGGTTGGGTAGATTGCTGGTGTGGAAGGAGACAGGGAAGATCTGTAAGACGACAAAGTGGACCATCTTCGGTAGGAAACCAAATCTATCTTATTTGCCGGGATACCATGATGGTTGGCTGATGGTTTGGGGATTTGAAATGCGTTATAAACAAACGAAACACAACGAATTGTGATGATCCCCAGGGCCTCGAAGAAAACAAAAAGATTAGACACTGTTGCAATCCCAATTACCTTTGAGCACACGGCCAAAGGGTAAATTTCAAGTTCTGTTGTCGCATCAGCCGAGTTACATTTGTTTTCAATACGGCGAGGGATGTTTGGGTGCATTCCCAACCAATTCCTCAGGACAACAGCACGGTGGTCCCGCGCTGTATGGATGAAAATGACAATAGGATGCACAGCGGGTTGCAGCATGCTATAGCCACTCGTACGTCTTAGAACTGAAGCGTGAAGCGTGAAACATACATTCTTTCTCTCATCATATCTTCAAATATTTATATAATATATATAGGCGTATCAGCTGCTCAATATTGACAAACGTCACTGATCGTCCCTGCAAAACGTTCCTTTTGCGGAGGGGCTGCATCCAAAAAACACAAACACCATGACTTCATGTGGCCTTGGCCCAACACTTGAATGGCGTAGTACCCATGTGTGTCGCCGCAGCCAGGCATCTACGGCTGTGCAATTCAGCTGCTGCTAGCAGCAACTTTCCCAACCCTTGCCGCGTGTGTTCTTCATTTACCTTGGCGCGAGAAATGTTATATGGGCCAGGAAAGTTTTGTCCCAATGTAATCAAATACGGGGAAAAACAATGCCTATCTGAAACTGGCAAGACATCCAAGCAGCTTTGAGAGCCGCGATATACAGTTCGTTCGTCTCGGGTAACCACTGTGCCTCAGGAACCAGCAAGGGCACATTGGAGAGATCAAGTGCATGAATAATATCAAAAGATCAAGTGCATGAATAGTATCATTAAAAAAACGAAGAAAAATAAATGAAAAAACGATCGAAGGAAAATTAGAAGTCAAACTTCCGATGTATGGACAGATGCAGCAACAGTCTTGGGAAGAGTCGGAAAAAGGAAAATAAAAACATCAGGCGCGTGAAAAAGTAAAGACAAATCGCGACACACTACTTTTTTCCAATGTTTGCGGTTCCGGAGGGTCGAAAAGTAGGATTGCTAAAGCAGCGGGTCCGAAGCCCCAAGCACATTTCAAAGTCATGTTTCTAAAAACGCCTCAGGTTCGGAGCACGTTTGGAAGTTGTGCTGCTCAAAAAGTGCACGCGGCTGTGGCGCCAAGCACATGTCAAAGTTTTCTCTTAAACGCCCAAGGTCCAGAGCGCTTTTGGATCATGTGTAGCTCAAATAGTGCAAGCAGCTGTGGCGCCAAAAATATTTGAAAGTCAAAATGTTAAAAGCACCCACCTTTGGGCGTTCAACCGTTATTTTCCGTGGCAGGCGCAATGGATTCTGCACCCCAACAAAAGTGAGCCAAACGAGCGAGAGAGAGAGAGAGAGAGAGAGAGCGAGAGACAGAGAGAAAGAGAGAGAGAGAGAGACAGAGAGAGAGAGAGAGAAAAAAGAGAGAAGAGAGAAGAGAGAAGAGAGAAGAGAGAAGAGAGAAGAGAGAAGAGAGAGAGTGAGAGTGAGCAAAAAAGAACAAGATGAAGAACAAGATGAAGAACAAGATGAAGAACAAGATGAAGAACAAGAGGCACACATGAAAGCAAGCGCTGGAAATAAAACCGAACGACCCCGTGAACGAACCCTGATTAATGAGTGTTCAAACGCAGGACCCCGGGCCGTCACTGACCATAAAATATCCATAGAATGAGGTGCGCAACTCTCTGCGCCACCGCGCCCCTTCATCCCGAAAACCATCAAGTAAACAAAGATAAACCTCCCTCCCCTCCAAAACAGGTATGTCTGAGGCATGACCACAAGGACGTTCCCCCAATGTAAGCGAAACATGTTAAACAACCTCAACAAATAATATAGTCATCCAAGATTCCAACAGAAATACATGGATTTGACCCACAAAAAACTTGAAACAATTCAAAAAATCATTGCAAATGTCTTACACAGAGCTTCGCCCAAGGATATATGAAAGCAAAACCAAAGAATCGCTTCGACTTTGACCCTTGACTGTATGTGGAGATGGCCCACTTAATAATTGCGACATGAACCACATCCCCTGAAGTGGTCAGTGTCGCAAGATAATGAAGCCGCGAAACCCATGTGCCTCAACCAGCAGGCGGTGCGTCCAAGAGGCATGGATGTAGCCAGCAACGCACATGGATTTGAGCTCCAGCAATGGGAGAGTGAAGTGATATGGCCTGTTTCCAGCCAGCACCTCCTGGCGAAGAGTTCAGGGGGAGTGACTGGAAGTCACTGGACACCCCAAAACTCAAAACGGGGCCGGAAAGCGGCGAATACTTCAGTGGCATCAATGGCACCGCTGCAGCTGCCATCAGGTGTCCTTTTGTACTATGATGCAGTACTGATTTGTTTTTTTGCCTGACATCGCTGGAGAAATTACAAGGAACCGAAGTTGCCTCACATGTTTCACGAGACAACTACCATAAATGGTCGACGTGGGAATGACCCTGAGCATCGCATATTGATTAGAATCAATATATTGATTTTGATGGGTTGAAAAATCAATATCAGATATTGATTTTTCAAATCAATATTTCAATGTAAAAAAAGGATGATTTTGACCATATGAAATCAAGAGAAAAATCAATATTTCAGGTGCTGCAAAACAAGCATTTTTCAAGGAACAGTCGAGATCTTTGCCTCTGGTCATGGGTGAAACATGATTATATAGAAAGGCTACTTTGGCCTTTTCCAAAGAGCTACATTTTCCAAAGCCTCCTTGGCCTTTTCCAAGGCTTCTTTGCCTTTTCCAATGCTTCTTGGCCTTTTCCAAGGTTTTTTGGCCTTTTCCAAGTCCAAAGCTTCCTTGGCCTTTTCCAAAGCTTAGCATTTTCCAATGTTTCTGGACTTTTTGCCATGCCTTTTCCAAAGCTCTAGAAGGTGTCATCTTCTTCAACCCAAAGAGGCTTTTCCAAGCCTCTTGTCATCAAGAGGTGGAAGAAAATGCGGTACTTGGGACAAAGCTTGGTGCTGATCTTGGTTGAAGATACACCAAAGCTGATGGAGTGAGCCATCTTGCTCACATGGCCCACAAAATCTTCCCCTCTGAAGCACCACTGTCGCCTGGGGTTCATATATTTACTATTGAGAAGTAAATGTATGAAAGTGTGGTGTTTTATAACAATGGCAAAAGAATTCCTATCCTTTTCCAAGGACCAAGAATTCAGCCATTTGTAAGATAGCAAAAACTCTTTTCCAAGAGCCATGCTTTTAGCAAATTGTGAAGGAGTTAAAAATGTCTCTGCTTCATCCCACAGAGCCACCAGCTTTTCCAAGCTCTTGGCTGCAGAGATCATTTTTCTTTCTTCTTCCCTCAGATGCATGCTTGGGCCAAAGAGCTTTTCCAAGACTGGCACAACTGCTGGCAGGAGGTGCTTGGCTTCTCCAGCTTTGATGTCCAAGGATGCTTTGGAAGCCCATGGCTTGTTTGCATCTGTAAACATAGACAACCTTAAATTGGTCAATCTATTTGACAGCTCTTGGGACCTGTATTGTTCTTGGATCTCATCAAAGATGAAGCCAAGCCTTTTCCAAGGCGTTTCTTTGCAGACCTTTCCAGGCCCCTCCCACCAACATGCATAATGCAACACACCTCCCAGCACATGGCTGCAGAGGCCTTTGCAGAACAAAATGTGCATGGGATCTCCCCTGATATTCTTTGCACTGACATGAGGCAGTGAGAACAGGGGGTAGTCTGACCATGGGTCCTCCAAATGTTCCTGATGTGTCCAAGTGTCAAAGCTGGCCTTTTCCAAGTCCAGCTCTTTGACATGCAGGCTAGGATCACAAGCAGGAAAGTTCTCAGCAGGGCATTCCCAACATGGGTAATGACTTGCCCAATGTGGCAATCCTAAATGATTAGAGTAGAACTCATGATCACCTTGGATTGCAAAGACATATGCTCTGAAGCCTCTTGGGTGAAGAGGCTGCCCTGCTTTTCCAAACAGTGGGCTATCCTTTTCCAAGGGCTTGCCATCAGAGTCATGTGTTGGATGCAGCCCTTTTCCAAGAGCTTTGAATGACCAGCTCAAAACTTTCCAGATGGCTGGCCATGTCTCCTTAGTGGTGCATGATTTGGGGAATGCTGCTAGAAGCATATGCTTTTCCAAGCTTGATTGCTCACCCAGCATGCACCCCCATGACCACACCATCATGGTGTCCCTGTTATGGTACTCAACACCATCACCATGAAGAAATGCAGGAATTGATTTTTCCTGCCAATGCTTTTCCAAGCACATTGGGTGGCCTTCAAGCCTATCATCTCCCACCTCCTGCACTCCATGCCAAAACTTTTCCAAGTTACCTTTTCCAAGGCTGAAAGCTTCCTGGCAGCACATTGGGTAATATTCTGCCAAGTATGCAAATTGAAGATGTGGGAGAAAGACAGCTGCTTGATCTAGCTTTTCCAAGCTAGTCTTTGCATCAATGCAGTTGGCAGTGACCTTGAAGGGCTCAGCCAGCTTCACATTGGAACAAAACTTACCCATGACCTGTCTGTGGATGTTCCCTGGCTGTGCTCCCCAATTGCCACTTTCAGCCAACTTTACTAATTCTGGGTGACTAGCACCATCTTCCATGGCCAGGCTTGCAAGTTCCCTGATCATGGTTGCTGATAGGAGGCCACTTCCCCACAAATGCAGCAATTTGGTGGCCAGGGAAGAAGGGTTTGGCTCAGCCTTTTCCAAGGCACTGGCCTTTTCCAAAGCCTTGCCCTTTCTTGCCACTTGCCTCCTTGATTCCATTTCAAGCTGCCACCCTCTCAGCCTTTTAGCCATTGGCCTGTCTAGGCTTTTCCAAGCCTTTTTTCAAGGCTTATCCAAGCTTGCTTTTGGATTAACAAACAAAACTTTGAGCCAAGTCAGCTGCAGCATGTTTGCACCCTTCAGTTCCCAACCCTGAACATGTGTCCTATAAAGCAGCTCTCCCTTTTTCATACCTGCCAAAACTAGAGGCTGCCCCTGTTAGGCTGCCCAAAGGTCTTTGCCAAAGCTAGTGCCTATGGCCATGGGTTGCAAACTGGAGTCTTTGGGTTTAAAGATGCAACCCATGGCATTCCTACCATGCCTTTTCCAAGGCTCTTTGGCTGTGACCTTTTCCAAAGTCACTTTGCTTTTCTGTTCCCATCTGTGGAAGCATATAAGTCTTTCCCAAGACCTTGTGAATGTGATGTTTTCCAAAATCACTTTGCTTTTTTGCTTCCATGTGTGGAAATATATGTCTTTTCCAAGACCTTTTGGCACTGACCTTTTCCAAAATCAATTGCCTCTCCTGCTTCCAGCTGTGGACTGGGCTTTGCCACCAACACTCTTGAGCTCTTTGGTCTCATCTTTGGCTTCCTTGACAGTTTGGGCCACATCCATCAGCTTCTTCTTGATGGAAGCAGGATTGTTGTTCTTTCCAGGCAACATGGCTTTCAGGTCACCAAGAGCTTTTCCAAGCTTCTTGAGAGCAGTCTCTGCAGATGCTCTGCCAGCCTTGTTCAGCTTGGACTTAGCCTTTTCCAAAGCCAGTTCCAAGTCTGACTGTGTGGATGCAACCATGTTCCTGGCTGTCTTGCAAGCTTTCAGTACCTTTTCCAAGGTATCCAGCTTGTCATCAGGAGTGTCCTGGTTGCTCTTGTTCTTGGCTTTGCCTTTTCCAAGGCCTTTGCCCTTCCCATAGCTCTTTCCAGAGCCCTTGCCCTTGGGATGATCATCCACCTCCAAGGAATGGCACTCTTTGGTGAAGAGATCCATGAACTTTTCCAAGTCCTCTTCCATTGGATCATACTCCACCCCACTCTGCCATTCCTTGGCCCTGTTGGTGGTGATCTCCCTTTGGAAGCACTGGGTGTCCTTATATTCATAAGCACCCCATGTGGAAGGGCACTCTCTCCAGACAACTCTTCCAGATTGCAGATGCAGGTCAAGTTCCTCTGGTGTGAACTTGGCCAGCATCTGCAGCTCTGTCTCCCAGTTGTCAGCCTTGGTGACCTTTTCTCCCACAGACACCTTTTTCAAGGCTGTCATGAATTGTTTGCCTTCCTTTTCCAAGAGATAGGCTGCAGCTGCAATGCCTTTGTCTTTCTTGGACAAGTCATTGTAAGCTGCCTGCTCCTGCTTGGAGCCATGCTTCAGAGCAGTCTGGTGTTTGCTCCAAGCCTTTGACTTCTCCAGCTTTGACATGCTGTCATGCAAGACAATGGCAGCTTCATTTGGGTCCTCAGCCCCTTCAGCTGCTGCCTTCATCTTGTCTTTCAAGCTCATCTGGCCTAACTTTTCCAAGCTGGCCTTGCTGAGCTTGCTAGCCTTTCCAGGCCTATTAGCCTTTCCAGGCTTGCTGGAGGAAGCCTTTGGTTTCTTCATAACTTTCTTTAGCTTTTCCAAGCCCTTAGGCTTTTCCAAGCCCTTTGCCTTCATGCCTTTCATGGCTTTCTTTGGTGCCATTGCTTTGTTTGTTTTGTTTTGCTTTGTGTGTTTTTTTTCAAATTGCTTAGCTAACTGCTACAAGAAGTTTGAACCAAAACTGCCACATGCATCATGCATGCATGTTTTTTTATATGTATATATATATATTTATTTATTTATTTGCATAAATAAATAAATAAGTATATATATATATATACATATTCAAATACATATATACATAACTATATATACATACAGTTATATTCAAATACATATATATATATATGTTTTGCAACCCATGTTATATTTCACCCCAAATCATTTAACACACCACACCCCAAACCATACAACATGTAATATAGATTTTTTAAACAAACCAAATGTTTCAACCACACCTGCATGTTTGATAATAAACTAGTGGAACAATATGTTATATTTGTTTTTTGTTTTTTAATAAACACATGGACTTTTCCAAGTCCAAAAACATGTATGCGCTAAATTCGTTTATATGTTTATGTCATCAAAAAATGTTTCCAATGACTAGCTTGCATTCTTTGAAAATATTAACAACATATATTGCATTTTCCAACATATTTTGTTGTTAGTGTAAAAGTGCTTTGAAAAAAAAAATATATATATATATAAAACATATATGTGCATATTTGATTCTAAAAAAACAAATGCAAAATATTTTTAAATGAAATGCATTGTGTTGAACAAACACCATTATTTTTGTTTTTATTTTTGAATCCAATGGACAATTCATGTCCTACAAATTTGTTGGCGCACAGATCAACCAATTAACTTTGTTTTCAAAAAAAACTACAAAAAAATAGACAAGTACAAATCTGATCAAATCTGATCAATTCTGATCAAGTTTGATCAAATTTGATCAAATCTGATCAAAACTTGTTTTTGATCAAATTTGATCAGATTTGATCAAATTTGATCAGATTTGATCAGATTTGATCAGATTTGATCTGACTTATATTTTTTAATTGTTTTTTTGAAAAAATATTTATCCAGTGGTTTTGTTCAAAACTGAAACCAACAGGTTTATGTTGTTGTTATTTTTCTTCTGGCATTTGCCTGGGTTGAGATTAAAGGGAATGTTTAATTTACTTTTAGTGCAAAAAAACATCAATATCTTTGCTTGATTTTTTTTAGATTGCAAATCAAATTTTTGTTGTGTGAATGTTTATGTGTTTTGTCCTGTTCAAATCAGACATGTTTGTTTTTTTGAAGAAACTGTGTCAAATTGAATTTGATGGTCTCCAGAGTTTTAAAGTTACAGGTTTGGAAAAACCTGTGCTGTTATATTTTATTTTTACAGGTGAGTCTCACCAGATTTCATGCCAGCTTGGACCCAAGAAATTAATTTGCAAGAACATTGCAAAAACAAAACAAAACAATTGAGTTTTGGGCAGGTCTGTTTTGAATTTTACTTGGGCACTTCCATGCAGGCTTCAAAATTTTCAGGCTTTTCCAAGCCTGTGGTTTTTGTGTTGTCCCAGAGTTTAGTTTTGTCAAGTTCTTGACTGGCTCTACTTGTGTTTGCACCAAAAAAACAGAGCACAAGAAACACAAAAAACAAAACATTTTGAATAATCATGTGCAAAAATTCAGAACAAAAGAAAAAAAAACAAAATACCTTGAAGAAACATGTAAAGAATGTAAATGCATACATTGTGCATGAAACTGTATTTGTTTTATTTATATCTATATATTTAAATTCAAATATTGATATGTATATATATATATATTTATTAAATATATATATATATATATAAATATATAAACATCTTTCTAAACCATATATTTACTGCATATATTTTCTTTAAAAATGCATGTATATATATATTTCTGATTAAATTCACTTAACTATCCTTATATAATTATATAAATATATTTCTTATTAAATTCACTTAACTATCCTTATATAATTATATAAATATATTTCTTATTAAATTCAATTAATTATATTTATATTATTTTTTATATTTCATTTTTCATTATTTTTTAGTCTTTGGTGTAGCTGGTGTGTTACCAGCTACACCTTCAAAAACACAGCCTGTACAAGCTGACTGTACACTGTACACTGTACATGTGAAACATGGAAAAAAAGCACAAAAACAGCAACAGGCTTGGAAAAGCCTGTTGCTGCATGCATGAGTGGCTTTTCCAAGCCACTGCACCAGGCACTCTTGAGGCTGCATTTGAACAACAAACAAAGTAAAGTTGAAACTGTTTTGGTTTGTTGGTTGGTTTCTTTGCAGCCTCAAGAGTGCCTGGTGTTTCTATGGCTTTTCCAAGCCATTTGTGTAAGGTCTGCATTTCAGGGGCTGCATGTTTAGACCATAAACACCACAAACCATATAGAATGTTAATGATAAGGTTTGATTGTTTTTGGTTTCACAAAAATAAACTGTTTTAAAAACCAAACATGCAGCCCCATCCATGCAGACCTGCCCTGCAGGCTTTTCCAAGCCATGTCACTCATGCTAGCTTTTCCAAGCCAGTGGGGAGCTGAAGCAACTTTAGGCTTTTCCAAGCCTCTTGGAGCTTTTCCAAGCTCCAAGGTGCTTTTCCAAGCACTGAAGGCCATGCTTGGGCCCAGTGGTCCTTCAGGTATGCCTCTACTGCCAGAGCAAAGGTCTCATACCCACCACCTGCCCAAGCATGGCCTTCTTGCATGGTGTTGATGGGGTATGTTTCCAACCCCCACTCCATGCTTTCTTTGAGGATTGCTTGGCAATCATCAAAGATTGCTTCAGCTCCCCACTCCCAGGCCCAGGCACACTTGCCTGTGCGCCCCACCTTCTTCCAGCAGGTCTCTTTGCAGATGACCTGCTGGAGGTGGTCTGGGAGCATGAGCTCCATGTCCTGCAGGACTTTCTCCTTCCTGGCCTTGGTGGCCACAAAGGAGAGCACAGTCACATGGCAGGAGGCACACAGCTTTTCCAAGCTGGTGATGTTCTCCACTGGGACTGAATCACCCACAAAAAGGGTGTTGTACCAGTCCACAATGACAACAGGCTTTGTGGGCTTTTCCAAGCCTGTGCCTGTGGGCTTTTCCAAGCCCTTGCTCTTTTTGGGATTTTCCAATCCCTTAGTCGACTTTTCCAAGTCTGACTTGTTGGCCCTCTTCTTCTCTGGCTTTTTCAAGCCAGAGCTGGAGGAGCTGGCCTGCTCTCCAGCTCCTGCTGGGGTGAGGCGAACCTTCCTGGGGTTCCCATCTTTTCCAAGATGTTTGGAACCCCCCCCACCCTCCTTGGCAAGGCTCTGTGCCAGAGAAGTTGCCAGCTTCTCCTGGCACTTCTTCTGGGCCTTTTCCAAGGCTGCCAGATGCTTCACCAAGCATTGGGAGCTGGCTGGGTCATCCTTTTCCAAGGCTGACCATTGCATGTGGGCCCTCCTCTCTCTCCTGGCATGGGATGTGGTCCCATGCCCAAAGGGCCTCCCCTTCTTGTTGGGTGGCCCTTCAGGCTCCTGCATAGCTTTTCCAAGCTTTGGCCACCCAATTGGCTTCCTTTTCCAAGAAAGCTGGCTTTCTTTTCCAAGAAAGCAAGCCCTTTCCAGGACAAGAAAGCTTTTCCAAGCCAACCAACAGCTCAGCTACAAAGGAAGTGGCTGAAGGTTGTGTTGTGCCTGTGTGTGGAAGTGTGTGTGGAAGTGTGTGTAGAAGTGTATGTGTGTGTGTGTGTGTCTGTGTGTGTGTATGTGTATATATATATATATATGTGTGTGTGTTGCTTGTACCTGCATGTAGCTGTGTGTTGTTGCAACCTGCTCAAACTGAACAAAAACAGCTGCAGACATGCATGAAAGTTCCCCCTCACCCCCAGAGTTGCACTATCACAGGTACAAACTACAACAGCTGCACCTGGCTGTACTGCATTTTTTTCACACAGAGCAAAAGTGTAGTGCCTATATACAAGTCTTTTCCAAGACTTATCCTTTCTGGGTATTTCCAACACCCTCTTAGGTCTTTTCCAAGACCTTTTTATATAAGGGTTTTTCCCCAAAACCTTGTCTAGGTTTTTTTTCAAAACCTTGTCTAAGTCTTTTTCAAAACCTTTCTACAGTCTTTTCCAAAACTTTTTTGAAGCCTTTTCCAAGACATTTCTTTATAAGGCTTTTTCCAAAACCTTGTCTAGGTCTTTTGCAAAACCTTTCTAGTCTTTTCCAAGACCATGCTGCACCTGATGCTCTTGCCTTTTCCAAGGCATTTGGGATGGAAGCCTCCTATGAGCCATATTGCTCCAAGAGCTTGGCTCTCATAGAGAGGGCTTCCTCCTTGGTCAGGTTGTCCTTTTCCAAGGCTTCCCTGATCTTGCCAATCAAGGCCTTATAGTGTGGAGTCATCTTTGCACTGATCTCCACAATCAGGTGCATCTTGCCACCCTCAACCATCCCCTGGATATAGGACCTGGGGTTGGTTTTTTCTGGGTCCACTTGCCTGAGCTTCACCCATGGCTTTCTTGCAGCTGAAGTGCCTTTTCCAAGGCAGTCTTTTCCAAGACTGGCAGGCTTTTTCAAAGTGCCTTTTCCAAGACATGCAGGCCTTTTGAGCACAGGCTTGGCCTTGGGCTTGGCCTTCTTCCTTGACTTTTCCAAGTCATAGCCCATGGCTGCATGCAGCCTGCTCCCTGGCCTCTGCTGGGAAACCAGCTTGGAGGAAGAAGGAGATGGCTTTTCCAAACCACTGGCAGCTTTTGCCTTCTTGGATGCTGGGGTCTTGAACATATCAGGGATATCATCAGAACCCATGGTCACATCACTGTCCCTTGGCACCAGCTGCCTCTTGCTTGCTCCTGCTTTTCCAAGCAAATCCTCCTGGGCTGCATGTGCTTTTCCAAGCTTCTTGTTTGCAGGTGCTCTTCCAAGCTGATCTTCATTGCTCAGTTTGAGCTTTTTCAAGCCTTCCATGAGAGCTTGGTACTGCAGCCTGGTAAGTTTGCAAGCTACTGCTGTCAAACAGCTGGGTTCCCTCTGGAGCTTCCTGCAGTGGGTGAGCATGCAGTTCAGTCGCTCCACTTTCAAGTTGCACCACACCTGCCCACTGTGGTCAGTGGTGTTCAGCTCAGGCAATTCCACTAATAGAGACAGCAATGCTTGTCTCAGGGGTTGTGAATGGATCATGCCACTGGGTTCCAGAACCAACAGGTCTGACCACAATGGCTTCAGATCCAACAGTGCTTTGGGAGCTGGGCTAGAGCTTGAGCTCAGATGCTCATAGCCCCCCAAGTTCTGCACCAACTTCTCATGCTTTTTCAAGCAATCATAGAGAAGCCCCACATCTATCCAGGGTTTGGGCTGGTGCCTGGGCCCACCCCTACCCCCAGACATGGTCTTTTCCAAGACCTGCAGGTGCAGATCTTTTCCAAAACCTTGGTCTTTTCCAAGACCTTTGGACTTTTCCAGGACCTGTTTGGACTTTTCCAAGACCTTGACTTGGATTTGCCCAAGCCTAGACCTTATCCAAGATATTTCCAAAATTGCAAGCTGAAAAACAAAACAGCTCAAAGAGCCAAACAGCTGCAGGATATTGATATTGATTTTGATTTTGATTGGGTTCACAAACCTATCAATATGCTATCAAGAAATGAATCAATATTTCAAATCAATATGCTATCAAGAAAAATATCAATAAAAAATATTGATTTGCAAGTTGACCAAGCAAATCAATATCTCAGAGCCTCAAAATATTGATTCTAATCAATATGCGATGCTCAGGGGAAGTCTTCACAGCTTAAATGTACATATGTTGTCGTTTTCAAACTCAAATCCCACTTTTACTGGCTTTCAACACACACATTTTTCTTGCGTAGCTTAGATATCCCTATTCTTGCAGGTACGCAGCTCAACAACCCCACTCAAGTCGCCATCCAAGCCACCAACCCATCAACTCCTTACCCCAGGCCTTAATGGCCTCCACAGCGACACCTTCCTCATCCGCAATGACCCCTACGCTCTGGCACCACTCCTGGATGAGGGCTGGTTTGTGGTCTTGGGGTGCCGAGCGAACCACACATAGGATTGACAAACGAAAAAGGAATGAAATAAGGATTGTTTGCCTCAAAATCTGCAAATGGGAAGGGACGCAATCATCATTAACCTGAGATATCTTGAAACATTGCAATTCGGTTTGATTCAGCCATGAAGATAACCGCAAACATGGTGGGCCCCCATTTGACATTTCCATGGCAAATCTACAGAAAAAATACTGAATCGTTTTCCGGATTTCAGCATCAAAAATAAGGCGGTTAAACCAGCAATGTTCTCTGATAGTCGCTGGGCTAAAATCGGAGAAAGTGGGAAGGAACCCAGGGTTTCCATCCGAAACCATTTCTCGATATGGTTGGTGTAAAGGCAGCGAAAACATCCGAGGACTAACTACTACCAAGACCAGCAGTGTGTTTGACCCCACATAGTGAATTTCAATGTGACTTGGTCCATGGCCATGGTGACAAAAAAAATCAGGCATCAAATTTGTTGAAAAAACAGACGTATGTGAAACATTGTGAACCTGCCCAGAAAGGGGGGAACTATGATCCATCCAGCGCACAGCCAGCCTCGAGACCAGCCAACGGTTTCCACATGAAACAAAAACGAAAGGCTAAAGGTTTAAAGAACCAAATAACTGATTTGAATAGATTGGATGTGATCAATGCTGCGCCGGCTGTTTGAATTTGCACAAAGGCGCAGCTGCAATCTACACCTAAATTATATCTTAAAAAAAGCCTCCTCTCATTTCATTGTTTCTCAAGACCACGTCTGATAGGTCTGCAACACCGCCCGCATGCGCCCAAAATCTTGCGTCCTCAGGCGACAGATCCTCGAACCACGGCTGCTTCTCGAAGAACCTTGGATGTACCCGTCAGCACCATGTCATATTTGAGCCTGGCCTGCACACATGTCAAAGCATGTTCCCCAGGCTGTGGCCAGCGGTATATATGCAATTGCGCAATTTGCGGGTTGATTGGTTTGCCTCTTTGAAACACAATACCCCCAAAAACAAAGCCCCAGGAACTTCAACATGATTGATTACACTGTCTCACTCAGCCATACCTGTGGCCTCCGTTGTCTCTCACAAAAATCCACTCTGACTGAAGACGTCACTGTTGTTGACCACTGCATGGGCATGGGGTCGACACCGCTGCGGCCGCTGGGGGCGCGGATCGGCTGCTCAAATTAACAAATGGCAGTCATTCCCCACATCTTGTAGGTTTGTCCCACACTTCGACAAAACCATCCGGCAGACAAGCGTGACCTGCACCCAATTCGCTGTTAAGAGACCGGGCATGATCTGCCACAAAATTCTTCTCCGAGATGCGCAGCTGTGCCGCGCATTCTTTTGGGCACTTGCCAAGAACAGCATAGGAATCAGTTTTGTTGATGATGTCCTTTCACTGCGACAAGCAACATACGAACATCAATGAAATCAATGAATATCGCTAACCAGATTTGTCCAAACATGAAGTGTATCTGTATTCTGCCTTTACTGCACGTACTATAGGTGCATATGTCATGCATGTCCTCGTGTTTCTACTCAAAAACAAATATGTATACCTAGATCATCCTAGATCCACAAGCGGCCAAAATATTCTAGTACAAATAGGTCGTCGTGCTGTGTTAGATTTTTCGGCGGGAAAAATGGTAGTCCGGCAAAACGAACACTTTTGGGCAAAACCATTGCGTTCAAGTGCTTCACTGGGTTTGAACTAGAATCTAGCAAGAACCTGATCCAATTTGCATTGAGGATTGGGTTGCGCATCCCTATTTCCACCAAGGGTGTGTCTTCGTTTCTTAGGGATTTGGAAGCACATCCGAGTGATTCCAAATGTCTAGGTCGAACTTCAGAAATGGTGGGCGAACACATACTTCGGAATTTTCTCTTGAAAACAACGACAAAAAAAAAAACGGCAAAACGCCCGCAAATCTGGGTGAATTGCCAAGCAAACGTGCAGTTTGAAGCGTTTTTGACATACCAGAGAAGGACATGTTTCACCATCTAGCTGAATAATGCTGAATAAGTAAAGGACCAGACTACCCCGCATGTCAGCTTCTTCCACGAAGCACAATGTGAAGATGGTATGGGAGAGGCAGGGCTGATAAAGGAGATGGTGGAAGACAGATTGTGTGAAAGAGTTGTGTGTGTGTGACAGAGTTGTATGCGAAAGCGTTGTGTGGGACGGAGTTGTGTGTGTGTGTGACCATACAAGTGTGTGACCATGTTGTTTGTGTGTGTGTGTATCATCTGAATAGATGTAAAACTTCTCTCTTTTCTTTCTTCTTTCCTCTCCCTTTCTAATAATCATAATACTGCAGGGGGTCACCGGGGTCCCGGGGGGGTCGGTGACCAATGAAGACACCTCCCCGGGACCCGTGAAAACGTACCTGCGGGACTGTGGTGACGCACCTGGGCGCATATAAGCCGCAGCTGGTGGTCACCATATATATATATATATATGTATATATATATATATATTATATGTAACTATTGTCTAATTGTATGTTTACAGGACTCAGTTCCTGACGGATCTTTTCAAAGATCCATTCTTGTCTAGTGTGTGTGTGTGTGACAGGGTTGTGTATGTGTGAGAGGGCTATGTGTGACGGAGTTGTGTGAAAGAGCTGTGTGTACAGTACCAAAGTTGTGTGTGAAGGAGTTGCGGTGACAGAGTCGCGTGTAAAAGAGTTGTGTGAGTATGACAGAGCTGTGTCACCGAACAAGTGCCACGCTTGCCAGCACTTGCCACACGAAAGCCACGTCAATGTCACCTGTCACCAAATGCCACGCCCGCCACGCAAAAGCACCATCGATGTCACCACATGCCACGTCTGTTACGCAAAAGACCCCCATGCCACCAGAGCCAGTGCCGCAATGCCACGCCTGCTACACGAAAGGAGCGTCAGTGTCACCAACTGCCGCGCCTGCCATACAAAAGTATCCATGCCGCCATCCACACAAAAGAGAGCAGCTTCAAAAGCGACCAGGGCGACCAAGCGCGCCATCAAACCAAACTCAGTGCCACCAAGTGCTGCGCTTGCCACACGAAAGGAGCGTCAGTGTCACGCATGCCACACAAAAGTAATGTCAATGCCACCAAGTGCTGAGTTGTGTGTGAGAGAGTTGTGTGTCAAAGAGTTGTATGTGACAAAGGTGTGTGTGTGTGACAAAGTTGTGTGTGAAAGAGTTGCGGTGACAGAGTTGTGTGTGAAAGAGTTTTGTGACAGAGTTGCGTGTGAAAGCCTTTTGTGCGTGAAAGAGTTGTGTGGCGGAGATGTGTGTGAAAGTGTGAAAGGGTTGTGTGTGTGTGTGTCTGACCATGTTGTATGTGTGTGCGTGTCTGTGAAAGGGTTGTGTGTGTGAAAGGGTTATGTGTGACGGAGTTGTGTGTGAAAGAGTTGTGTGCATGTGTGTGCGCGTGTGTGTGGTGTGTGATAATGTTGTGTCTGAAAGGGTTGACAGAGAGGGGGCGGACGGGACGGGACGGAGCAGGCGGTCGGCGGACGGGAGTGCGGAACACAGATGTGGGGAAAAACTATGAAAAACTGCTTGCTGGATTTACCTGATTAAGATAAACCTTGATCAAAATTACCACTCTAAAGATATACCTTGAGGGGAATTGGATGCCGGTCCGGACCGCGATCACTGTTTCATGAAACGACCAAGATGATCAATATGTTTAGCGACCTCAAACCCAAACCTCAAACTCAAACGATGGGTTTTTAAGGGATCGTAAAACAGAAAAGTAATTTAAACATATTTAAACCACATCGACTAAAATATCTTTGGATTTTGTGGGTCTGGGTATGTATAATGTGTGCAAATGTATAAACAGGGAAATCCAACTGTGATAATATGTTTTTATATAAACATATATGTATATATAATTGTATATACATAAATCAAACTCCAGGAAATATCCGTCAGTCCTCCTGTTTGTAGTTAACTTGCTTGTTTCCTCAGCATGCAAGACGTTGCTGCAAGTAGCTGAGTAGCTGCAAGAAGTGTGGCATGCTTCCCGGATCATCATTTTGGCCCGGTCTAATGTCCATCTGGATCCAAAAATCATGCTTCAATCCATTGCCAAAACATCTTATGTCCAAATTCACAAATTACTGTCTAAGTCTAAGCTTGGACACACACACACACTGTTGATTTTTGGAAGTGAACTGCAATGACGATGTGGTTGTACATGCCTGGTAGAATCCTGAGTCCATCATCCTTGATAAACAGGTGAAACCAGGTCCAAATCATTAATCGGCAAGGTGGTTCTTGGGTTAGCCACATCCCATCGCGGAAATGGAAAGACATGATTAGGCAGGTACGTCGATCCAGCGTCCCGGATCGATATCACAGAATGTCATAGCCATCTTCGTTGGCTGCAGAACTATGACATTCCCTGCAGCCCCCTGCTGTTAAGTAGTCTTTGGCGCATGAATTCGGAAAACATAACGTGCATAGTCTTTGGCGCATGAATTCGGAAAACATAACGTGCATAGTCATCAAATGTCCAGTTGTAGTTTTCTGCATGTGAATAGCAGTGTGCACACACACAAAGGCCTTCACATGGAAGGCAAATTCTGAAAGACTGCCTAATGAAGCAAGCAGATCACGTCAATATAAGCAACGTTGAACTCATTCGAAAATGAAATTCATGCTTGGGATTAGGTGTATACGCACCTGCATCTTCATGGACAGGTCTTTCCAAAGAAGGCACTCTGAGGTAGCGGCGTGTAGAGCAAGTAGACCACGTAGATCAAAGAAATCGCGATAAATAAAGTCGAAATGGAAAGGACATGGTTAGATTAAAAGGTGTTAATTGTTATTGGCGAAATGATTGAATATGATGCAATCCAAAGTTTGTATTAGCGAAATAATTGAATATGATGCAATCCAAAGTTATCGTGCCCTTGTCCCTCACGAACATCAATTGTTTGTTGCAGATTGCGCAACACTTTGCGTGTGGAGAGCGGTATACACATATATACATATGTCTTCATAAGGAAGGTGACACTTCTGGGTTGCCGACGCGTGGAACAAATAGAGCAAGGACAGTATGACTTTGGAGTGTTAAAAAGTGAAGAGAACTGCACTTCAATTGAAACATGGATACCACGAAATGAAATGGACACAAATCGATTGTATTCTTGTTCTTCCACAAATCCGTTTAAAATGAACGTTTATTAGTTGTCTATGGACGAAGGGCAGAATTCGCCAAAAACTGAGATTCCGACGCGTAGAACACGTAGGTCAGGTGGTTGAGATAGAACGCAGTGATGAAAAACAGTAAATGGATTGATTAAATCACAGTTATATAACACTTAAGCCAGTGTGTTGCAGTACCGTGAACCATATAGAGTAGAACAACGGACGTAAACTAAGCTGGAGAACTGAATATAATCAATTACGGAAAAACAAATATCACACTGCGAGCCAGGCGTTTTGGGTGGGATGTTGCAGAAAAACGTTTGAACAGTTGCAACAGTTGCAAAGTTGCAATTGGAATGAAAAGCACAAAACCAAAATGCAGCTACAACGGCTTCTTTTCAGTCAAACGGTGTCAATTGTTGTCTGGTCCATTTGTGTCCAAAACTGCGGGCAATCGAAATGATCTGAGGAATGCATTCGCGGTATCTAGGTTCCTGAAGGGTATGAAGGGCGAGCAGGTCTTGAACTTGAGGAAGTTGAAGTTCACGAGGAAAAGTATTTTGTAAAATTAGACGTGTTCGAGCAATGAGACCTGTATACATGGAGCTTCTAGGTCCAAAACCAGCGGAAGTGCGTATCACTGTGTCCCAAGGCAATACCGATGTAATGGTACGTTGATGTGGATTGATGTTGAATCCAAGTGCATCAAAACCCTGTACTTCTTCCAAAGGAATGGGCGAGGTGTAGAAGTCTAAATTCCAAAAGCAAGTTTGTCGAAGGCGATCAGTGAGTTGTTGTGGACCCAAAAGCAGACGGTTGTCAACATAACGAAAGGAACTAAAAAGTTTTTCAGAAAAAATAGCTTGTCCAAAAAGCATGCTGCAGGTGTGCTCTCGATGTAGGGCAACTAGTGAACATACAACTGGGGCCCACTGTGAGCCCATAGATGCGCCTTGTATCTGTCGGTAGCTAACACATCCCAGTGAAAAAAAGCTGTGGCGAAGGAGGTACTTCACAAGACTATGCTCTCAATTATTGGATTGGTTTGAAGTGTTCGCTCAGTAGAAAACCTCGAAAACATGAATCAAGATCGTACACACATCTGCAGCGATAAGGTCCCTACCGTGTTTGACATTCTGCTTGGTTCGAGCATCACAAACTATGTGTGTCCGCACACTTTTGTGATAAGTCTTCCTATATTCTAGATCTCTTCAAATTGATCTCTTGTCCTCACAATTGTAAATTGATTTGAAAGAGAAGGTGAAAACCCATAAAATGACAGTAAGAAGCAGGGTTCCCGGCCAGTAAAATCCTTCGGCACATGGCCACCTTCGCCCTATGGGCACCATTCGCCCGTTGGGCACCCCCTTCACATGGAAGGCAAATTCTGAAAGACTGCGTGTAGAGCAAGTAGACCACGTAGATCAAAGAAATCGCGATAAATAAAGTCGAAATGGAAAGGACATGGTTAGATTAAAAGGTGTTAATTGTTATTGGCGAAATGATTGAAATGATGCAATCCAAAGTTTGTATTAGCGAAATAATTGAATATGATGCAATCCAAAGTTATCGTGCCCTTGTCCCTCACGAACATCAATTGTTTGTTGCAGATTGCGCAACACTTTGCGTGTGGAGAGCGGTATACACATATATACATATGTCTTCATAAGGAAGGTGACACTTCTGGGTTGCCGACGCGTGGAACAAATAGAGCAAGGACAGTATGACTTTGGAGTGTTAAAAAGTGAAGAGAACTGCACTTCAATTGAAACATGGATACCACGAAATGAAATGGACACAAATCGATTGTATTCTTGTTCTTCCACAAATCCGTTTAAAATGAACGTTTATTAGTTGTCTATGGACGAAGGGCAGAATTCGCCAAAAACTGAGATTCCGACGCGTAGAACACGTAGGTCAGGTGGTTGAGATAGAACGCAGTGATGAAAAACAGTAAATGGATTGATTAAATCACAGTTATATAACACTTAAGCCAGTGTGTTGCAGTACCGTGAACCATATAGAGTAGAACAACGGACGTAAACTAAGCTGGAGAACTGAATATAATCAATTACGGAAAAACAAATATCACACTGCGAGCCAGGCGTTTTGGGTGGGATGTTGCAGAAAAACGTTTGAACAGTTGCAAAGTTGCAATTGGAATGAAAAGCACAAAACCAAAATGCAGCTACAACGGCTTCTTTTCAGTCAAACGGTGTCAATTGTTGTCTGGTCCATTTGTGTCCAAAACTGCGGGCAATCGAAATGATCTGAGGAATGCATTCGCGGTATCTAGGTTCCTGAAGGGTATGAAGGGCGAGCAGGTCTTGAACTTGAGGAAGTTGAAGTTCACGAGGAAAAGTATTTTGTAAAATTAGACGTGTTCGAGCAATGAGACCTGTATACATGGAGCTTCTAGGTCCAAAACCAGCGGAAGTGCGTATCACTGTGTCCCAAGGCAATACCGATGTAATGGTACGTTGATGTGGATTGATGTTGAATCCAAGTGCATCAAAACCCTGTACTTCTTCCAAAGGAATGGGCGAGGTGTAGAAGTCTAAATTCCAAAAGCAAGTTTGTCGAAGGCGATCAGTGAGTTGTTGTGGACCCAAAAGCAGACGGTTGTCAACATAACGAAAGGAACTAAAAAGTTTTCCAGAAAAAATGGCTTGTCCAAAAGGCATGCTGTAGGTGTGCTCTGGATGTAGGGCAACTAGTGAACATACAACTGGGGCCCACTGTGAGCCCATAGATGCGCCTTGTATCTGTCGGTAGCTAACACATCCCAGTGAAAAAAAGCTATGGCGAAGGAGGTACTTCACAAGACGATGGTCTCAATTATTGGATTGGTTTTAAGTGTTCGCTCAGTAGAAAAACTCGAAAACATGAATCAAGATCGTACGCACATCTGCAGCGATAAGGTCCCTACCGTGTTTGACATTCTGCTTGGTTCGAGCATCACAAACTATGTGTGTCCGCACACTTTTGTGATAGGTCTTCCTATATTCTAGATCTCTTCAAATTGATCTCTTGTCCTCACAATTGTAAATTGATTTGAAAGAGAAGGTGGAAACTCATAAAATGACAGTAAGAAGTAGGGTTCCCGGCCAATAAAATCCTTCGGCACATGGCCACCTTCGCCCTATGGGCACCATTCGCCCGTTGGGCACTCCTTCGGCTTATGCCACCCTTCAATTGTCCTTGACCCCCCTTCGGCTATTGCCATCACTTCTAGCAGCCCCTATGGCTACTCGCTCAACTTCTGCCTCCGTAGAGGGCGGATTCGGCACACTATGCCAAGATTGTTCTTCCCCATTAGGGATGATGAGGTCATGGTCTGTATAGGACACATGACTAATGCACACTGTTGATTTTTGGAAGTGAACTGCAATGACGATGTGGTTGTACATGCCTGGTAGAATCCTGAGTCCATCATCCTTGATAAACAGGTGAAACCAGGTCCAAATCATTAATCGGCAAGGTGGTTCTTGGGTTAGCCACATCCCATCGCGGAAATGGAAAGACATGATTAGGCAGGTACGTCGATCCAGCGTCCCGGATCGATATCACAGAATGTCATAGCCGTCTTCGTTGGCTGCAGAACTATGACATTCCCTGCAGCCCCCTGCTGTTAAGTAGTCTTTGGCGCATGAATTCGGAAAACATAACGTGCATAGTCTTTGGCGCATGAATTCGGAAAACATAACGTGCATAGTCATCAAATGTCCAGTTGTAGTTTTCTGCATGTGAATAGCAGTGTACACACACACACTCTCGCTTACACCTGAACAGTCAGCAAAAAAAAGGAAATTACTTTCCAGTCCAGGTCTAGGTCAGATACGAGCACTGTACGAGCACTCATGGCCCCAATTGGACACTAATGGGGTTGCGGACACTGCTGAATTTAGAAGGTTTTAAAAGCTATGACTCCTGACCCACATTCACCAAGATCCATCAAGATCCAAGGTACTGGGGTTGGGCTCCTTGGCTGGCCACTCGCTGGCCCATGCACGCAGCGCTTCCATTGCGGTCCTCTGGCGCTTTGGCCCTGCACCTGACTGGCTGGGAAGCCCTCTTCCCTTCTTGGGGGACGCATCAATCAAGCGCTGTACCCAAACGATGAGTAAATCAGGAAGTTGCACTGCCCTTAGCCAGCCTGAGTCGCTGTCATACAGGCGCCGTTTTTTTCGCTCCTGAGGCATGCATGTTGGAACGTCTGGACAATTTTGTTTACATCCCAAACCTGAGGGAAAACCAGGAATTGGCCTCCTCACTGCTAGCTTTACTGTAGCAAGTCCTAGCACTGACCAGCATTCTGTCAAGCTGATGACGACCATTAAATTAGATCAAATTACATGGACCCGTCGTTTTTTGCTGTGGTTCATCCACTTCCGCGCCTCCTGCAAAGCAAGGAATACAGGAGCAGGCGCCACACTCATACAGGTGTTGCCGGCTTTGTTGACAACCTCAGTGCAAAGGCCAAAAGGCTGAACAGGTGAATCAAATTCCATGGAAGTGTCCAAAACGGAATGATGGGGTAGTAGCACTTTCAAGCCTGTAGACGAGCTTTGCCAGTGCCCACTCCACAGGCTAGAGTCTACAGTAGAATTTGTTTGACGCTCCGACCGCTGCGAGTTGATGTGTTTCCAAGATCCCCTTGTCATTTTGTGGCAACCCTTTGCCAAAATACCAAAAGCCTGTGCAAATTCCTGACAAGTAATTAGCAGGACGTCAGCCCATACCCGTTCAAAAAAAGAAGTGATATGATCATATGTACCAATATCCATTACATTATATTATATTAGTATATGTTATAGTCCTACTCCTACAGTACTATATTATATCTCTATTCCCTGGAGACTTGTTCCTTGCATATGGCAGGCGCTTCCGATTCCGTCCAGGCGCTTCCAAATTCGCCCCACCTTCCAACAAGGCCTTGGCCGCATCTGTCCTCAATCTCCTGACAGCATAAAACAGCCTCAGAGAGGTACGCGTTACCAGGTCACTACCAGCTGGCATGTCATAATGAGCTTCAACCATCTTGCGTGGCTCAAAATTGTTTCGACCCATGGGACCATCGTTCATACCATCAGGTTCCCTATTTTTCCGGGATTCGGAATTTGACCCAGGACAAATCTGAACAAAGAGCGGCCACACAAAGATGTGATCAGCAGTAACCCGCGCAGTCACACAAACTGCCAGCCGCCCATTCAGCAGATTTTTGTCCACCATCCTCCGAGCCAAAAATGAAAAAAAACTCTATTGGCAGCCCAGCAGCGCAGTTTCCCCATTCGTATCCACAACATTGGGGTCAGCGCCCTGGCTCATCAGGTATCGAATCGTGTCTGCATGTCCTTGGCGGGCAGCAAAGAAGAGGGCCGTTTGATTCATCTCCTTGGCTCTCGGAGGCGAATGAAAACGATGGCACGCATCACACGCATTGACACGCAATGAGTTCATCATCTATACATATCTATACAGTATCAACCTAAGTATCAACACATTTTTTGAGGGACCGAATTTGGGTTCTTACCTACCAAATCTCAAATGCATCACTGTCTGAGTTGAACGTGTTTAAATTAAACTACACTTCCCACAAGCGTTTTTCAAGTGGAGATTCCTCATGACAGGGCCAACCAGCTATTAACATACATCAGTTGGTCTACTCCGTCTTTCTGTGGGTTGAGTGCCCTTGTGGCTGAATCCCGTTTTAGGATGTATCTCGGTCAAACAGGATAGGCAACAACTTGCTCTTTGTGTATCTCCCGGACACCCATGCATAGCACAGATGAAACTGGATTTGGCACGATTTGGGCGGGGCTCAAACATGAGATGCTGAACCAGAAACCATCCACGTTTGGGGTAAATAATTTGAGCCAAAACCGTTCGGCCATTTGCCCTTTAACATCCTCTAACAGCTCGAACAAAAATTTCCTCAGGACTGTGCCGAGCCGCATCAGTATGGTTCACTGGAATGCCTCGCGCGACCAGCATCTGACACAAGGACATCGCCTGCCAAGAATGCCCGGCCGTCAAGAGATGGGGACCCTGCTTCATGCTTTTTGAATAGGGTCACAGGGATTGTTGCATAGGGTTATGAACATATAATAACGCAGGTATACGCAGGTACACCGCACTGCAGACCCCACTTGAATATACTTGAATGTCAACACCCTGCATAGTTCCATCCGCTTGGTTGCAGCCTGACGGTCAGCTTGACGGAAGCGAGCACTGCGTGCAGCAGCAAAAAAAACAGTTGTATGATCTTGTGGCTGGTGACCTCAGAAAAATAGCCCGTAAACCAAAGGCTTGCTAAAGCATGCCAAATAACTCAAATCACCTCTTCAAGATATTTCAACATGGACGCATTTTGCAGCTCTTCTCTTGTGTCCTGGGTGCCTTGAACAAGCCTCATCTGACGAATAGAAAATGGAGAACAAGTTTTCACCCGGTTCTGCTTGCAGCCTGAATCAGCAGCCAATTTGCCAAGCCACACATCTGAAGCGATTCCAAAGAAGATCTCTCGATGATCTTCTTTGCGCTGGTGAAACTTTCATCCTCGGAGCTGGATGCAATGACCCTGTTATACCCTGTTTGCAAGCGTTCCAACATGCTCCAACACTGGACTCATCGCCCTTGTATAAGGGGCTCAAGAATCATTCACCAGCCGATCCGGATCATTCTGCCATTCTTAGGCCACCAAAAAAACGATGAAAACATGTCGATTGTGAAGCATGTTTGCCAGCAGGGACGCTTGAACAAACGCAAGGGGTCGCCCCTTGCGACTTCAGGTTCAGGGTTTCAGGTTTCAGAAGGGGCCCTGGTCTTGAAAGCTCTGCTGCGCTGTTGTCTGAAACGAAAAACAAACTTGTCAGGATATTCAAGGTCTTGCCAAGAACTTGCTGTCCCGATTCTAAACGGAGCCCAAATGTACTCAGTCTCCCTGATTCACTCACCGCTTAGGAGAGCATGAATCCTGTCAAGGTTTAAACTAAATCTCAAACATGTCCAAGCTGTCTTGTTTTGTGCCTTTCCCCTCTACCACTTTGCAGCAGTCTGATTCAAGATTCTCTTATAGTTTGAAATAGTCTTTCCAGGGGCATGGCTGCGAAACTCCAGAGAGTCAAGCACTTCGTCGAGCCAAGAGCTAGGTTTCGTGGCAAATAGTGAAGCAGTGAAGCAGCAAACATGAAATAATGAGCTCATATCTATAACACATTGGAAACCACCAAGCGGCAACGCGAGCAACGCGACGGATGATTGGATCCTTCAACCACTGACCCCAGGCATTGGTACCCCCAGCGGTTGATCACCATGGAACCATCCATTTCCCCTGTGAATTGATGGCCGTAAAAAACGAAGCGTGAATTGCAAAAAAAGGGGCTGGGTCAAAACCCATGAAAACCCATATTTCGGAGAATAACCATCCATCATCATCCATCAACCAGCTATTTTAGGGTACCGTTTGGGTACCAGGGTTTTGACCCATAACCAATGACTACAGGTGCCCGTCATTGACGGCCTCGGAACCGAATTCAGATGCCAGGCCCACCATAGGGAAAGCCGTAGCCTTGGCAATGAAGATCTGGGGCAGCACTGGGTAATCCCTGGCGAATCCATTACCAGATCATGTTTTTTGGCCACAATATTACCAGTTGGGTAGAAAACATCAATATTTTCAGGTTTCCTAAAATAGGGCTACCCCAAATCATCTATTTTTGGCAGGATTTTCCGTATAAATCCCCCATATGAAGCCACTAGCTCCAACTGCCGCCCAGAGAGAAATATCATGATCCCTACTACAAAGTGGTGCCCCAAATCGTTAGCTAAGTTGGTATATAACTAAAATAACTAGGGTTTATGGATAATATCTATATAATTCTATAATAGATTCTCGTAGATGATCTATTGTCAAAAATAATTCAAGAGGGTTATAATTCAACTCGTAGCTAGGGGGGCCACCTTATAGAGAAAACCATCCAACACAAAACTTGCAGCAAAAGATCACCATTGGGTCAGTTTTGCCCACAGCCCAAAGTCAACCTACATCAACTTACTAAGCTACCCTTCCAGGTCTGGTCTATATACTCGGCAGTTGAGACATGAAATTATGAAATTTAAGGCTTTGTCTGAAAATAGGGTACCCAAAAATGTTGATGGTGAGGCGAATATTCATAAATGTTCATGAACAAATCGCCATTTCCTGGGGGTTAAAAAAAAACACCGGCTGTATCTTAGGGCCCTCAACTTGCAAGGTCTTGGTAGGACACACTTTCCACCTCAGTGCATCCAGCGAGGGGCTCCAGGTGGGTGGTTTGTTGACCTCTTGAATATCTTCATCTAGAGCAATCCCAGAATCCCCAAATATATTGAAAAGGTATGAACAGTTGGGAACCCATTATGGAGGAAAATATCTTTGATTCCGGACGACCTAAGTTCCATCTTTTGGGGGACGACAGCATTGCCAGAGAATAAATCTCTGCATTTGTCTTGAGAGAGAATGAATTCACTGAATTGCAGAGACTGGTTGGAGCATTTTGTTCAGCAGGTGATCCTTCAACCCAGGAGTAGACTATCCGCAAACCATTGCATCTCATTGAAGCTTCTGAAATCTGTTGGGCTGTTGATGGGGGGAAATCCATGGAAATCCTATTTTTGATGGCAAATCACACAAACACACACACTCACATGTTTGTTGATTCTTTACAAAGGTATAGATAATGACCCATTTAGTCTCATGTGTTTCCCGTTGAAAGCGTTAAACATTGCAATTTTAAAGGGGAGTCAGGTTTCATTTCATTTTCAAAGAGTAAATCAACAAGTGTTTGTCGGACTTTCTGCTAAATTCCCCTACTTGTTCAAGGGTATTGTCTTCCCATGTCCACTGGTAACATTGGTCAGTTTGAACCGCTCGGCGATGATGACGCTGAAAATCCAACCCCAAATCGTGGTTGGTACATGTAATCACTGGTAAGTAATGCCCATCCCAAAATGATATATTATATAATATCCAATGTCATACGGTTACATATTGCTACTGACAATAAACGATTTTCAGTTGCTCACATAACCATCAACGAACATGATGTGTTTAATCCAAATGCTTGATGTCACCATTCCTTGCCACTTGGTGAGGATCCCCATTCTTTTTAGTTCGTCAGCGATGATGTAGACATGTATGTGCATGCGTTGCAGATATCATATGTAAGAAATTGTAAGAATTTGTATGAATATGTATATAATTTAATGCACACACGTGCAGTATACGTATAAAGAATATATCATCTACGCAGTCATGAGTGATTACTAATATACATGTGTCGGTTTAGTATATAACAGAGAGAGCGAGAGACAGCAGCCATAGAAACACATGAGGATCGTTATCCAGGGCCATGCTTGCCAAATGCTGCCCAACGACTTGAAGTCAATCAAATCCATGTTTTCAAAAAATCTGAAATCTCTAATCAGGTCTTCGATTAAGCATTGGCAATACTAACATGAAAACAATAATATCAATCAAATCCAATTGTTTTAAACTCTGAAAGCTCCATTTAGGTCTTCGGGAAATTATTGGCAATACTCGTTTGAAAACTAATATCAATCGGAAGTACATAGTCATGTTACATGTATTTAGTTTGGTATAAGTGTGGGCTCGCTTTTTTTTTGCGGGGGACGGTTCTTAATAAAAGGTCAACATCGTGGGTCAAACATATTCAAAAACTGCTGTATACACCCACAACCCCACAACAACTACAAACCGGTCCCCCTGAAAAAAAAAAACTAAAACTGGTGTATGACTAGGTGAATGGTAGATATATATATATATATATCATATTATATCGAACTAGTTTTTATGGGGTCAACCATGGTCAACCGAGCAACATCACTAGACCTGGGTTTCCCTGCAATTGTTTGGTAGCGTGTCACCTCCAAGCAGTCCAGAATGTCCTGCGGCTGAGCCATGCCATCCATCCCCTTCTAAGAGAAGGAAACATACTATAGTATCATATAGTATCATCATCCCAGGTAGATGGTTGGTTGATAGGGTTTCTCCTAAAATGTGACAATCCCCAATGTATTGTTTAGCAGCTAATCCCCTACAATCATCAACCAACCGGGGTTTTGAACACTGCTCATATGAAACTATGAAACCGCCAAGCAAGAATCATGTTGTGTAAGCAATGGGAGGTACCCATTGCTAAGAGAAACCACCCAAAAACAGGCATTGCCGCTGGAAGATGATTCATGGATCCCCGATACCCAAGCCGTCACAAATGAGTCATCGTTAACATCTTCCGTCACATGGTGGATACTGCGGATATATCGACCATGAGACCAGCAAGGGCGTCTCCTGGCAAGGGCCGGGGTAGCCCGCTTTGGCGACCAACTCCCGGATAGCCACTTCTCGAGTCATACCTGGGCTTCCCCAAAAGGTGGGGAAAGATCCATCCCCAGATGCTAAAGACATGTGAGAAACACTGGGAAAGTAAGATGAAAGTAAGCCAACCACCATAATGTTTATAAAATTATTACAAAATCCATATTTGTGGAAAGTAAGTTTGAAGAATTTTGGATTTTGGACAAATTTGAAGATCAAAGCAGCACAAAGAGTGGATGACACTGACATCTTACCAGCAAAATTGAGCATTGAATCAACCAGTATACCAAGGGGATTCCCATAGTTTTTTTCCAATTAGTGGTTGCTTATAGCCTCTGGTCATGTACCATAACCATGGCAAATGGATGAACATGGTCCATTTAGTTTGATGAACTGTGATTGTCCATAGCTCGATCCTTTAAACACCAAGCCATAGCGCGAAAGCTGGACGGAGACACGTTGGGGTTTAGGCTAAGGGCTGGTTTAGGTTATTTAAGGTCAGTTAGTTATAGCTTGTTTTAATGTGATTGTAGGGTTGGTTCGGTGTTTATTTAGGGTTGTCCCAGAACTAATTTCAGGTAGTTTATTGATTCATTTAGGTTTTTTGACTGCTATTCAAGGTTGCTTTAAAATTTAGAATTTATTAACGGTTGGTTTGGGCGTTGCAGTATGTAAGGTTGGTTTAGGCTGTATTTAGGGTTGGGTTTGTTTTGGGGTGTGTTTAGGATATTTTAGGATTAGTTTAAGGTTAATTCAAGGTTGATTTGGAGTTTCTGTAGGTTGGATTGATTCACTGTGTTTAAGGCTTAAGGGTTATTGAGGCCTTGCAGTTTGTTGAGGCTTTAAATTTAAGGATCGAAAAAGACGTAAACAAGATTATATAAACAAGTACAGAGAATGTGTTCAAGACGTGTTTAGGGATGCCCAGAGACCAAGGAAGCCCAACAACAAGAAACCCAGAAACCCGGAACCCAGAGAAACAAGGATAGCAAGAAGCTAGAGCCATCCTGCGTTGCAAAAACAATTTTCGCCTTGTGACATCAGACCCCCTTCCCCATAGATTATGCTATATTGGGTAGTATAACCCCCGAACTAATCAACCAACCATCATTTGTCAATTTAAAACACAGTGTCCCTTTGGGCGTAATGCTTAAAACCCTATAAGCTATAATAATTGATGACTATATAAATAAGAAAACATTAGGTTTTCATGGGTTTAGCAACGCTCAAGTGTCACAAAATCCCCATATTTTTGATTTCGAGATGCCATGCTCTTTGGCCACCTCGGGCAAGTATGTTGCCGAGAAGCGCCTGGACAGGTGGACTTTCAATGATTTCATGGGGATTTACATGGGATTTTCAACAGCAATTTCATGGGGATTTACATGGGATTTTCAACAGCAATTTCATGTGATTTACATGGGATTTTCAACAGCAATTTCATGGAAAATTCATGGGATTAACGCTGACAATTGCTGATTCAACAAGCCGACATTGGGATTTTTCAATGGGATTTCAATGGATTGAGTCCTGTAAGAGTTCCCATGATCTCCAGACATCATGAGTGGTTGATTGGTATCTATCTTGGATATATTGTAGCATTTACGAATACATTACATTATGTATATATGTTATATATATATATGTTATATATGTATATGATGGAATATGAGTAATTACATAAATTCAATTCATGTAAATAGTGATGTTTGTATGGATCATCTCATGTGTTGGCATAGCTGATGGATGGATGTTGATGGGGGACTACATGGAGACCGACTATTTGATTCACGCTTGGTGTTTCATGATTATGATTGAAGTCAGACATCCATATGGAACTGGTTGGTGGTTTTAACCATCTTGAAAAATATTAGTCAATGGGAAGGATTATCCCATATATTATGGAAAATAAACAATGTTTGAACCAACCAGGGAATTTCAACATTTTTTCCCCCAATGAAAGACCTGGGGCCTAGCAGGGCCTAGCATTTCCCAAACCCACGCTGAGTCGTGTTCCAGTGCTTCAGGTTTGGCAGTTTTAGCGCAGGCCCAACCCCGCATCATGCTCCATTTATGGTTGTGTATGTATATATATATATATATATTTATAATATACTATAATATACTATAATATACTGTAATATAACATACTATAATATAATATAACATAATATAACATACTGTAATATAATAAAACATAATATAACATACTGTAATATAATATAATCTACTGTAATATAATATAATATACTATAATATAAAATAAAATAAAATAATATAATATATATATATGTACATACACATATATATATATATATGTATTGATTGTTTCGAACATTTACCAGTGAAATGACCCAAATGTATATTTTTTTACATGGAGCACATCATGGTTTCCCTTTTATTGGGTGTGCTCACTCAAACCATTGGTGAAACCATCTTTCTTCTGACCAAGAACTTGGAGGATGTTGCGGTCCCCCATATCCAATATGAGATCCAATCCTGTCCCATATCATTCATATCCAAGGATGGAAATGTGATTTATCCCCATGGAAATCTCATATTAATTTATAGTTCATACAATATCCTATCCCACATCAATATCAATGTATATATATATGTATATATATATGGCTGGTGTGTCTTAAAAAAATAGGCGACCCCTGAATTTCATCATGTTATATCATGTTTCATCATTTTTTTCATGGTTTAAAACCTCATTTTCCAATGTTCATCATGGATTTTTGTTGGACAAACCTCCAGCATTCAAATCCTGGGGACCCGATGCCCATGGCCTTCCTTGTGCATCGGAGAAATTCAGCAGTACCCCGTGCCTTGGTGAAGAACTTGCTGGGATTTTCAGCAAAAAAAAACCGGCCGGCCAAACTTAGATATCTATATCATGCCATGCTTTTAGCTGTTGATGTATTTTTTTGCGAATTTGTCATTTGTGTGTTTCCGATTCTTTTGTTTTGGAGCTGCTTATTTGATGCCCCCATGCGTAGCAAAAGATCGTTAGCAATGGAGTATCCATCGAAGGTTTGGTTGCACAAAAAAACGCGGGTTTCATCTTGGGGGAATCCTACCATCTGGGTTTTGAATGGGGATGTCACCAACAAAACATCACAAAACTGAGGGTATATTTGTTTGAATGACAAGACAACCATTTTAGCATGTTTTAACCAGCCATCAATAGCCATTGTGGCAAATCAACCATTCGATAAAGAGATCAGAGGGACATGTAACCAACAAAACAATAATCCCTTACCCCTATTACTAAACACCCCCAAACAATAAAGACTAGGGTCTGTCTCAAATTTTGGACAATTTGAGGTTGGCCAATTTGATGTTTATTGATCTCCTTAGAAAAAAAGTTAAAAATGAAGCTACCATTTCAGGGTTTCACCCCCTTATAATAAAAACTAGTCAACCCCGGGGTGTTTTTGATTAGGGTCCGTCTTTTAAGCTAGAAAAAAATAATTTAATATTAGGCGCAAGCGTCGAAATCCGATTTTTTTGGCAATATGTTAATCAGATTTTAAAGGGAAATCTAATCCATTTTGAAATAGAACAAAATAGTTTTTTATAATAAGGGTTTTAAATTTACTATTAGGGGGAAGCTTCGAAATCCAATTTTTGGCAATAATTTAATTTGATTTTAAAAGGAAATCTTATCGATTTTGAAATAGAACAAATAGTTTTTCATATTAGGGTTTTAAATTTAGTATTAGTGGAGCCCTAACAATAAATACACCCTAATAATAAAAACTACCTGAGGTGTTTATGATTTTTTGGGGGGGCGTTTAGTATTAGGGGGAAGGGATTAGTTAGGTTTAGGTTTGTCCGGCAACGGGTCATACTCTAAAACGCAATGTCAACGAGAACGTTATGATAGAGCACTGGATTTTGGGGTCCTCAGTTTTGAAACAAACCAGTAGTGACCAATCATGAGTGTGCCTATCAGCCCGGCCTTCATCCCATGATTATACCACACAGGTGACGCCCAATATTCAGGAACACACATAACCATCAACATGACCACAAGAATACTATACCTTGTTAATACACATAAATACAGTTGGGATGATTATTCCCAGTATATGGAAAAATAAGAAAATGTTCCTAACCACCAACCAAATATCAGATATTCTATATATATATATATTATATATATAATAAGATATTATAAGATGCTATGAGGTCATACACCCATTGAGCTACATGAGACGACCATCCTGTACGGGAAAACATACCATAACCATGGCACATTTTTAATTTTTGGCTCTGTCTGAAAAAGGCAACAACAACAACAACTTCAATAAATCCCTGGGTTTATCACAAAAATCGTCCCTACCAAAGTTGCCATATGAATTTGGGGGGAAACACAACCCACCCAAATTCATGGTTCACTCCGGGAATCTCAATCTGCCAATCCCACCGCAAACCCCACTGCCGCCGAGACACACGCCAACTTGCCAATCAAAGGCGTGCGCACAGGGCTCAAATTGATGAAGAATCGAGATTCGACAGGTGAGCAATGGTACCTGGTAAGGTTTCGACGGCTTATCCCCCTGGTTTGAAAAAGCGCCTGGATCCGAAAGTCCAAAGATCATCCATTGCTATGGCATAGGTTTACCGAATTCTACTAGTTTCTCTGAATATGTACCTCCAAAATCACCCAGGTTGTGGGTAAATGCAATGGCCACATGGAATTGGTTCCGGTCTGGGCTACCCCAAAATCCACTTGTTTCAAGCCTCAAATCCTTCATCTGTTCAGGTCGCCATCCCTGGAGAGGCACCTCATCAAGCTTGACAGGAGGAAACCTTCTGTCCTATGGCTGATTCTTCCAGGATTCACCCTGGAGCTGGAAGATTTTTGGGTTCGGAGGAATGGATTTTTTCTGGCAAAGCTGTGGTGGAGGCAGTGAACCCTGTTTTGCGCAGTGAAAAAATGTTGAAACATTGGAGTCATTCACCAATATCATCTACTTCATGGTCTCAACTGAAGAATGTGAAGGGCGGGTGAACATGAAAACATA